TATGACATTTTCAATGTAAATTGATATTAAACTAAAGGGTGGTGGAATGGGTAAATTGATTTGTTGGTTAACTGGGGATGTTTTATATTAGATCACCAGAGGGAGTTGGGAGGTTCTGTTATTTACAAACATGTGCACGTTAAAACATGTTAAATGTTTTAATCAGATTTTATTCACACAAACACTTTTCAGCTGTGACAGGCTAAAAATATCGGCAGCACTCTGTGCAAATGAATTGGGTATTGACTGAAGTGGAAGGGGGCACAGAGTTTTTCTTTTTTACCTTTTCAGATGGACACGATGGACCAGGCCTGCCCTCAGAGTCAAAAAGAGAAGTTCAGGTTCTACAACTGATTAACATCTATTAGATAAGAACACTTTCTTGCATTAGGACACCTTCTGCAATCATTAAATCATATATTTAGAGCTCAGACTTAGACAAATGTTAGAAATTTCCATTATGTCATTTTGCACCACACCAGGGGGATGCTGAAGTCCTAAGCAGATGTCCAGGGCTGGGTCAGGCGACCTGAGGCTGCCAGGTGACACGCTAGCTGTCAGCTCTGGCATCTTATTTGACCGGAGGCTGGCAGGTCACACGCTATAACCTGTAGGCATCTCCCGCCAACATATAAGGAGTAGTTTACATTCAACCAGAGGAAAATGATTAATTGCTTGCTTATCTGTCGGTATTGAACTGGGAGTTTTTATGTGAGGGAACCCCTTTGGGGACCCTCACCCAGGGGGAGTTGTTACGACATTTTTGGACTGGTCCTATGGTTTTGATCTGCTCAGAGACGGGATTATAATGAAATTATGACCCGGTTCTGACTGGGTTAAACTGGGCCAGCAACTCTAAAGAGAGTCTCCCTGGGATTCAATATCAGTCAAGGAATAGTTTAATCTGCTTGTCACATCACGTAGAAGGCTTTTGAAGCACTGTTTCATATTTCCTAACACATCATAACCACATAAGATCCACTGAGATCACACTTAGTCACGCCCCCTCATACACTGACAGGTTGAGCTCCCCTTCTGCGAAGGGGGAGTCTAGGACCCTATAAGTCAGTAATGACACGAGACATCGAGGCTCTTTTTCCGAGTCTGTGAACGCGTCACAGATGGGAGAGTCCAGCGCTGTAAATTGTAACCTTTTCCTGCCTTTTTTTTATATAATTGGTAAAACTGAATTCATGCTTCCTTGATTTATTTGTTATTATGAGTTGCCACTTCTGAGAGAGATAGAGCCGGAGGAAGTGGTGGGGGCTGGCTAAGGGTCCAGGGTCCGAAAGGAAGCCTAAGGCCCACAGCTAGCAGTAGTTAGCTGCAGTGACAGATGACCCGCAGTCAGCCCCCAAATGCAACAGCATAAAAACAGGTCTCTCTTGTAAATGACGAGGATCAATGAGACTAACAACCTGTGTAAATAAAGGTTGAATTGAAATTACTATTTTAGAGAGCAACAACAATTAACAAGCCTGAATGTGAATGTATGTCCTTGACAGTCTGTCAAGCATCCTAACCCCACCTACACACACACACACACACTGCTGAGTGCCGAACTCAGCTTTCAGCAGCTTTTTTTAGATTTTTCTACCTGGATTATTGAGCATGCATCAGAAGATCTCTTCTGCTGAATTCAGTCCTGTGTGTTCTGCTCCAATCTCAATTGCCACTGCCTCTGTTGTTCATCCATCCATTTATTTTAGATAATAAATTGTCTTTTTGACCTTTTGGTCGCTGTTATTTTGACTAATTAGTGCTGTTGTTTTGATACGTGATGTAATACACATCAAACATTTCACTCGTTTTAATTTTTTATTTTTACTGTAAACTTACTTATTATGTCTGAAATGTTATGCACTGTAATGTATGCAGGAGTTCTAACACAGCAGTTGTGCGTGCGTCCTGCAGAGCTGTCTGGAGTCGCTGTGCGTAAAACAACTGTCTCAGGGCGCACAGCTGAATGAGGATGAAGACGCTCCCCGCGGGACATGCAATCCATGTCTCTGCTGGGCAGGAGCGTGGCTGGAACATCTACTCGTTGTACTTATAATAATCAAAATAAAAATGCGAGATGACTTTCGACTTTTAGGGGCGGAGTTGGCAGATCCGAGCGGTCAAAATTATAGAGTTCCAGGATCTTGTTCTTACAGGATCCAGCTCAAATTAACCACTGTCCGAATATCAAAAAACAAGAGCTGTTCGTAACGTATAATACGTATAGAACGGGGATGTGAACCGGGGCTTGAGTCATCTTAAACACACTGAATCACGCCAAATGTTTGAAACTCCGCCTGTCAACTCAAAGCAGTCAGCTGACTCAGTCTGAATGAAGCAGTGAAATGGTTCACACATCATCGATGACGTCACATGAAGCGAGCTCCGGCCCACTGTTTCACCGTAATTACCCTGTCGAGTTTGAAGCGTGCTTTGAAGCTTCGGTGTTAAAGGTAACTTCACTACTTTTAATGTCTTTTGTTTGGGTTGTTTTTGAGTCTGGACTAGACTGACTTGTTTGATTTTTTATTTTTATTTAATTGCTGAGGCAGCATTTGATCCACTTTACTATATTTTTGTTGGGTCAAAGAGTCTGTAGAACATTTTTTTATTTGTAATAACCCCCTCCCCTTTTAAAAATCAATCAACTCCATCTTTATTCCTCTTGACACATTTTATGTTATACCCCCTGATACCATAGACCGGGGGGGGGCGTAACAAGTGGGGGCTCGTCCGGGATCATTAGAGGACTCCTGTGTCTAGAGAGAAAAAAAATTCACTGGTATCTAAGTGCTATGTCAGTTACATTCAGTCCAAAGCACTTTTTTGCCACCCCATCTATTGAGCTTATTAATAGCTGCCGCATGCGTGAACTGCTGCAAATTGTGGACCACTTTAAGCTGCAGGTCCCAAAACGGGTCCTTAAACATGACCTAAAGGCTATAGTTGTATGTTACTTGAAGATTATTATCATTGAACAAATTGTTTGAAAAAAGGGTCAGATATAAGATTTTTTTCTTCACTCTGCTGCCTTTCATTTTAAATTTATTGTATTTTTATAGTTTATGGAATTGTTTTGTTTTGTTTTTTTAAATTAATTAACTTTATACCATACCATATAGTAGTGGATAAGTTGATGGAAGTTGGTGTGATCAAAGTGCCTGATTTGCCTGAGGCTTCTGCAGTGCCAAGCCAAACAACCTTGTCTGTGATGGACCATAAAGATGGCCCTAGTGTGGATGCTGAGGTGTGTGACTCGGGTAGGACTCCACGTACACTCCCTCGCTATGATCCAATGTCTTCTGTGAGTTCAGAAGGCCGAGATGGAGGTTGTGTGAAGGTGCAGTTGGCACATCTCCAAATGGAGGCTGAGGAAAAGGCCCAGGAAAGAAAGGCTCAGCTGGAGCTTGAAGTCAGGAGGCTGAAAATCGAGGGAGATAAAGCTATAAAGCTGCGTAGACCAGACTCACCTCACCACCGGATGAAGAGCATCTCAGCGTGACCTCAGCAGAAGTAAGGAGTACCTTCAGGAGGATTAATCCGCACAAAGCAACTGGCCCAGACAACATCCCCGGACAAGTGTTGAAGGAATGTGCTGATCAGCTCTGTGAGGTGCTGGCAGACATCTTTAACACCTCACTTACCCTGGAGACAGTTCCCACCTGCCTGAAGACTGCCACCATCATCCCAGTCCCAAAAAGCTCTACAGTGACTGGTCTGAATGACTATCGGCCAGTGGCCCTCACCCCGATAGTCGCTAAATGCTTCGAAAAACTGGTCATGACTCACATCAAAACAACCATCAACATCAACGAGGACCCTCATCAGTACGCATACCGTGAGAACCGATCAACAGAGGATGCAATCTCCTCTGTGGTCCACACTGCACTCAACCACCTGGAGCAGAAAAACTCTTACGTCCGTATGCTCTTTGTGGACTTCACATCCGCCTTCAACACCATGATCCCCCAAACCCTGATGGACAAACTATCCACACTAGGACTAAGCCCCTCCATCTGCAACTGGGTACTAGACTTTTTAACAAACAGACCACAGTTAGTGAGGATCCACAACCTCTCCTCCTCCACCATAACCCTCAGCACTGGCTCTCCTCAGGGATGTGTGTTGAGCCCCCTCCTGTTTACTCTGCTCACATATGATTGTGCAGCTACCCATCCAGGCTGTCACATTGTAAAGTTTGCAGATGATACAGCGGTGGTGGGATGCATCACAAACAATGATGAGTCCAGCTACAGGCAGGAGGTGGAACACCTGGAGAGCTGGTGCAGAGGGAATAACCTTCACATCAATGTGAAGAAGACAAAGGAGATGATTGTGGACTTCAGAAGGAACAAAAACACCTACACCCCCCTGAACATAAGAGGATCTGCGGTGGAAGTGGTCTCCAGCTACAAGTACTTGGGTGTACACATGAATGACAACCTCAGCTGGAGCAACAACACCACCAGCCTGATCAAGAAAGCTCATCAGAGTATTGGGGTTGTGTGTGTGTGTGTGTGTGTGTGTGTCTGGGAGAACTCACCTTGCAGATG